GAAAAACAGCGAGTCGCGCTCGAGGATCGACTCCATCACGTCGGCCCACGCGTCGCCCGAAAGCACTTGGAAGAGTGTCACGAACGACTGCACGAACCCTTGAAAGTTGCGTCGCGGCATGTCCTTCTCGAGGCCGAAGAGCTGCATGGCCAGCACGCTGTGCACTAGAACGCAATCAGATTTCTTCGCTGCCAAGTTGACCACGGACTCCGTACCGATGAGAATGAGCAAGAGAAACACAAAGAGGTTGAAGACGGCGCGGCTCGACTTGAGCACCGACTCGATGAGCTTCCGCGTGCCTTGCCAGCGCCACATGAGCCGGCCAATCCGCAGCGTGCGCAAAATGGACACATTGTCCATCCACGACAGCGTGTTCAAATCGCCGTCGTTGGTGACCTTGAGACACTAGACGCACGCAACGTTTCGTCCCGAAATTCAAAATGGAGAGGGCGGTACCGTGACGCACACGCTGGTACCCACGACGATCGCGTCAAACCAGCGCTCGTATGCACTCAGAAACAAGCGAATGCTACACAGAACGGTGCATGAGACCCCATACGAAGAAGACATCAATGGACCTCTGGAATGCATAAAACTTGAGCAACACCTCGATTATAAACACGCCGGAGAAGAAAAATTCCACATCGTCAAAGAACGTCTGCCACGGTTCGCCCATGTTGGGGTACTCGGTCATGAGCGCGAGCGTGTTGACAATGATGCACAGCATGACGAGGTCCGCAAACGTCTCGGACAAGATGAACCTACAACAACCATCAGTGGACGGTATCCAACATCCCATCCCACCGGCGCAGGCGCCCCGAGACGCCGGGCACAGAGGCGAGCTTTTGTCGAAAGGCTTCTTCAGCGGACTCGTGGACCGGCGCAAAAATATCCCGCGAGCTCACAAAGCTCGTCACTGTCTCGGTCGGCAGCGACAGTGACGAAAACATGCGGCGCGTCAGCTCGCCGTCGGTCGTCGTGTTGCTTGTGCGTCGACTCGTCGCGTCGTCCGACTCGCTCAGCGCCGACGGCAGCGGTGGCAGCGGTGGCACGTCGTGGGGCGTTGTATTGCTGGCTTGTTCGACCGCCATCGTCGTGCCAAGGACCATGTACAGGTGCTGTTCTTCGTCTTCCTTGTCCATTTTGCGCATGTCGAGCTGGCCGCGCGGCGCCGCATGTGTTGGCTCGGCGTTGCTGCTGTCGTCGTCGTGGCCCATGAAGGCGGTGGTGATGACGGCCACAAAGAGGTTGAGCACGAGAAATACGAGGAGGAAGACGATCATAATGAAGAAGAGCAGCGCAACGCCGGACGTCGTTTGGAGCGCCGGGTCCATGATCGAGTCGATCCAGCCGTCGAGAACCATGACTTGGAAGACGAGGAGGAAGGATGCGAACCCGTTCTGGAACGAGTGAAAGTGGTTGTTCTCGGAACTGTCCACCGTGGCACAGACAAAGCTCGGCGGACACCCGGCGTTGGTGCTGCAGTAAACCACTAGGTTTCTCATCAGCACACGCAACATATATGAAAAATGGAGTGTCGTCTACCGGGGTACATGAGGCGCGTGTCGTTCGTTAAGAGGGTCGTGTCGGGCGTGCCATCCACGGCGCACATGCCGTCGTAAACACTCGGAAAGGCCTACTCTCAAAGTCAGACCCTATGCATCGAGCGGCGGCATGCGACCTCGAGGCCAAGGATGCTAAACATGAGAAGGAAGAAGAAGGCGAGGACGCCAACATTGGCCAGAAGCGGGATCGCCTTGGTGATGGCCGAGATGATGCGCTTGATGCCATGAACCGCCGTGAAACACCGGTACGCTTTCAATCCCCGGAGCACACGCCACTGCGAGAGCGTGCCAAAGCCCAAGACGCAGAACGAGAGAAGGCTTGCAGTCACGACAAGAAACTGAACGACGGCGGTTTTGTCGCGAAAAAAAGGGTCTACACAAGCACAATGAGGCATCGCAACGCGGAGGAGGCGGGTAATGTACGGTGGCCGCGGAAGGCGCCGTGGACGCTGATGCGCAGCGCGAGCTCGGACGCAAAGGCCAGCGTAAACAAAAAATCCAGGACGCCCCAGACCGTACTGCCCGTCGAGTCCAACGCCATAACGACCGTGTCTAGAAGTACCGCACCGGCAATCACAGAGCTTGTGTACTTGCGTCGAAGCGTGCGCTTGGCAAACCGTCGAAAGCTCGCTTCGTAGGACGGCGGGCCCGACGACTTGGTCGCGACCGCGCGTTCGTTCTCTGTGCGCTCGCTCGGCGCCATCCGCGATGGCGACCGGCCGCGCGTCGACCGCATCGACTTGAACGCCATGTGCGCCAGCGGGTTGGCCGGCGACCGGCTGTGAATGGTCGGGTCTCTGCTTTTCGGGGACCGTGGCGGGCTCTTGGTCGGTGTGCGGGGCTGAATCGTGGGGCGCGGCGGCGGCGGGTCGTCGTCGTCGTCCTCGGGGATCGAAGCGGCGCTCGTTTGCAGCATCGACCGTTTGCGTTCTTGGCGCTTGGCGTGGAGGTCGTTGAGCTTTTCGCGCCGCGCGTGATGGACTTGGCCCCACACGTGCTGCTTGAAGATCGGGTTGCATAGCATTTGGGACGCCTTCCTGGCGAGG